ACTATTACGGAGGATGTTTGTGATGATGTCACAAGTGGAGGAAGAAGAGAAGTGAGATGAGATGTTTGTGATGATGTCACAAGTGGAGGAAGAAGAGAAGTGAGATGAGGAAGCTGCACAGGTAACTGAAGACGAGTTCTCTGGCGGCACTAACTTCCTATTGGATGTGAATCCTATCTACAAAAAATATATTTATGTTAAGGCTTTCTTGTTCTGCATTGTATTCTACAAACTCTTCCAAAAAACCTTTGCCCATCAAGTTTAAAATTATTGTGATAGATTGATAAATCATTGCTTGCACAATACAAGAATAAAATAAAAGTTCAATAAAAAAACACAATTATGAAAACAAAAGGAAAAAAAAAAGAAATTGAAAGCAAACTAAGAAAATTAGGATAAATACACCTAATTCAACCAAAGTTAGGTTATTCATCCCAAACAATTTCCTCTTTCATCCCAAACAATTTCCTAAGAAGGGATAACATTCACCAAAGAATGAGCATTAAATAGGCCACGACTAAACTTCTTGTAGGATTGAAGATAAAGTCAAGTGATGCTTTAAACACATCACAAGAAAGATAATCTTATTTTTCAAATAATTGTTTGAAAAGAAATGATACTCACCAAAGAATCAACACAAAATAGCCACTTAGCCCTTAACACCTTTTGGGTTGCCAATAAAAAAATTTTGAAGCGCGATTAATTATTTAAACAAATATCACGATGAGAGGGATAAGCCACCAAACTTTTTCAAACATGCAATATGAATCTAGGCTTTTAGCTTTGAAATCAAATAATATAGGTGAAAGATGGGCTACAAAATGACAACATAAAAATAACAAACGAAGAGATGATGATAGAAAACTCACCAAAGGACCCTATTAAGAGAAAGATATGCTTCACCTTTAATTGCATAATAGCAATATCTTAAATTATTTCAACCAATAAAATATTCTATTATAACTCACTCGATATTTATAAATAATAAAGTACACATTATTATATAATTTCAAGAAGGGTAAATAATGATACAAAATCTTTAAGATTTGATTGCATAATTGATTGCCACATTGATTAATTTAAGATATCTTCAATTATTAGAAGTCCAAAACTTCCTTCCTTGTACTTGTGCCTTCATGTAAGGTGAATATAGGGAAGACCATGCTTAATTTTGTCATTTAAAATTTCAGTTAAATCTCATTTTAAAGAGAATATAAATCAATAATTGATTGCTTTGATAATCAATATCTTCTTTGATTACTTCATTTAATTGAAGATATTGATAGCACAATCTTTTTATGAATTATGAAAGATATGATATTTTTTTATATTTGAATAATAAAATTAAGGCTGAATTCTTTCCAAATTAGAAGTTATAATTATGATGGTAATCAATTTCTTCCATAATGATGATAACAACATAAGAATTTTCAAAATAAGAGACTTTTTATAAATGAATGATGATTTTATTCCTTCCATTAATGGATGATGTGGATGGCATGCATATATATTCTCATATTTGTATTTGGAAGATCAACTTCTTACAAGGTAATGACTTCATTTATAAGGAACCTCAAAATATTGCCAAAGTAATATATCAGATTCCTAACTACAAAAGTACTAACTACCACAACTTTCATGTTCAACACTCAACCAGAACCCCCATTCCCTCAAACACCGATATACATAACTCTTGAAAATTAGAATAAGAGAGGAGTAGAAAATAAAAGATTGTATGACTGAAGTATATTAATTTTTTCTGCGTGAAAAACAAGATGAGAAGCTCCATATAAATAAGTAAAGAAATAACTATCAAGGAAATACAAATCAACAAACCAATATTTAATTCTAGAATCCAAAACTAACTATGCACCAAAAATAGAATGATCCAGTCCACAAATTACTGAATTTCTATAGATAGAAACCTTTTGTCCACAGATTACTGGACTGTTGTGGATGGAAGTTAATGTCCATGGATTGCTCGATTGTCGATGGACACATTCATGACTATTTCAATGCTCTCTCTAAAGGACTATATATATTGATCATGCTTAACTTTTTTATTAGTTTATCAAAAATCATTATAGGTAAAGCCTTGATGAGGATACATGTAGTTTAGGAGTTCTTTGGAATATGTCAAATTAGACACAAGGAGATTATTTGAAGCCATATACAGCTTTATGACTCCACATGCCTCATTAGTGTTTCTCTGATTTTTTTAATCCAGGCAAAGTCTCCAAGTATATTTCATCCACAATGTTTCCATTAGAAAAAAATAAAATTTAATATCAAGACGGTGTAATGGTTAATCCAAATTTTCTGCAAGAGAGAGAAAAACTCGATTTTGTTAAATTTGATAACAGGAGATGATTTCTTGATAGATAATACAATATGAATGGGTATACCCTTTCCCAAGTAGTTAGCTTTTAATGTATCCATGCTCCCCTTCTTAATTTTCTTTTCCCTCTTAGTACAGATACGAAGTTTCTTCTCCATCAGTCATGTGTATTAAGAAAGTGATGATGGAGATTGTTGATCTTGTGAGGCTTCAGTAGGCGGGAAGTACTGATTAGATGATGCGAAATTTTGAGGTTTCAATAAGTTTAATGAAGGGCAATAAGAAATATTCATTTTCTATAAGTGTGATGAGAACTAATGGTGAATGATAAAATAAATTTCAAACTTAAAATTCTTGTTCTTGAATTTTCTCCCCCTGAGCTTCAGGTTTGGAGTAACAAGGTTGGTGTTTAAAGAAGGTCATGTTCCTAAATTTTTTTAGTGACCAGGGAATAGCATTTGTACTAATTTTGATTTGGGGAGTATCCAATAAAGTTACCCTTGATAGAGTTTGGGTCTAATTTGCACCCGTAATAAGAATGAAAGTAAATGAAAACTGAACACCTAAAGATTTTTTGAGGAATAGAAGAAATAATTTTGTTCTTACACAATAAATATTGTAATTTGATCTTACAAACACCTAAAGTTTGAAATTTAAGTAAACTTGATAGTATTCTATTAACAAGCTATGGAGCTGCACGACAACTTCTCTACAAAGAGACTTAAAAATATTTGTCAAGAACAATATTAATCTAGCAATCTCTAAGAGATGTTCATTTTTAATTTCAATAACTCCCTTTTTTTAGTAATCAACACGAGCTTTGGTGTATAATTCTTTAATATAAGAGATAATTTTTTAAGACCAATTTAAAGTATTATTTGGCATTGTCGGTTTTTAGGACTTGAATTTTGGACTAAAATTTAATATTGAATCATGGTGCTGAAATTTTTAAAATTTTATCCTGCTTCAAAATATATTTTTTATAAAGAAAATTTAAGAGAGAAGTACGGCTGCCAATGAAGGAAATAAACTATCTAGCTCCAGAGATTCTTTACTCTAGATCACCCACACATCATTATGAATTAAATCGAAAGGTTCGGAAGATTTATAGGTTTTACTAGGATAGGAACTACTATTGTGTTTAGTTATATGATAAATTTAATATTGATTTTTTTTTTTAATTATTGTTGGTGAATAAAGAAGAAATTAATTTTTCAAAGAGAAAATTTGGGTGCCCTAGGCGATGGTGTGCCAGTCTAACGATTATTATGTGAAGTGTGCTTGGAATTTGAGATGAAGGTTTTAGTGGATACACAACCCATTGTTCGAATTGATATTTTGTTTAAGAGATTGTTTTTTAGAAGGTTAAGTCGTGAACATTTCCTTGTTTCCAATCATCCTCTTTAAGTACAAGTCTTGAAATTGTCAAAGTTTAGATGAAATTAACAAAATAATTTTGTCTTGGGTATGTTTGCTAATTGATAATACGTTGCAATCTTTTTTTTTTTGATACGTTGCAATCTATGTTAGACACTAGAAGCATAGAATCAAGTGTTAGATTTTTGAGAGAATGATATAACCTATTTCAGCCAATTTTAATGGTGACTCATCTACAATCCAGACAATATAATTTAATGTCATTAGTTGTAGTTATGAAGGACATTTTTGTCTTGTATCATAAGATTTGTGGGGTCTATTGTTCAAATAAAAGTTTTCTTCTTGGGCATTTAAGAGTTTAACTTTTTAAACAACCAAGCGTATTCTAGTACCATTATGAAATAAGTTTATGCCAGCAGAATAATTGATTGCCTTCAATTTTCTATCCAGATGACTTAAGAGAAAGGAGAGAGTTGCAGCTATTTGTCTTGGTTGGTTCTCTTTTGAATTTTTTAGTCAAGCATTTCATGATGGATTTTTTATATTATGGATCTGAGTTTTTCATTTTGATGTTAATCTCCAGCATTGGATTCATTAGTTTTTTCACAAATGGCTTTTTTGTGGCAATTGCCAATTTCTTCTTTCCAAAAGGATCCTTTGCATATGCTTTCGCTCCTCTTCTTGGATGCAGAGAGTATAATCTTAATGGCTCCAAAACATCTTGAAAATTAAAATTAATAGATGAGAGAGTAAAAAATGAGAGATTGTATGATGGAATTTTATTCCTTTATTTTGTGTAAAAATAAGATGAGAAGTTGTAAATACGTAGGTTGAAAAATAACTATTAAAGAAAAATAAATTTGGAAACCAATCTTTCATTTTGGAATTCAAAATTAACTAATATAAATCAAATGTTGTTTATGAATCGTTGGATTGTTCTAGATGAAAAGCAGTCATCCATGAATTGTTGGGTTATTGTAAATCAAAAACAATTGTTTATGGATTGCTAGATTGTTGTGGATGGAAAGCTACTTTATACAAATTGTTGATTTGCTATAGATGGAAGGTTTTGACCATGGATTCATAATTATTTCAAAACAAACCATAAACAAGCCAACAAACACCTTTCTCCCATGTCATCAAAGTCATTTAAAAGTGGGCTCGTTTGGGGTCCAATGAAATTTATATACAAAGAAACAAAATTGGACCATATCTAACTCAATTCATTCCTAAACATCAGGAGATCTGCTGAGTTAAATTTAATGAGAGAAAATGGAGTCAATGCTTCATGACTTATGTCCTACAAGATGTTCTCACAAGGAAAAAAAATAGCAGAACTCATGTCACAAAGATGGAATATGATGGCAAGAACATTTGATAACATTCGCAACCATGAAAAAAAACATTTACCTGAGGGTGACTCTTCTATCATTGCCTCGGCCTCTCCATCATTGTTTTCATATGATACAATGTCCTCAGTGTCAGGCAGGTTACCATCCAAAAAGTGGCTCCTATTATAGACCGCCAATCCATCTGCTACGACAAAAGAGAATTTATTTTTAATATAAATAGTCATTAAATTTTGAAAATCATATAAATGGCTTATAAAGCAGACAAACTGCTGGTAAACAAAGAATACAAGTAGTGTTACTTGATGAACAAAAATGCCTCATTAGCCGTTAACGTTAGAATATCATCTAACAACATAATTATCATTAAAAAGTAAATTGATTGATTTGCCAAATCTTAAGCAAACATTTCTAGTTAGGGGCGCTTGATGTGATGTATTTTGAGAACATGAACTTTATAAATGATAAGAGAAATATAAGATATTTTGATTTTTAAGCATTATTTATTTGGATAAAAATTAAATACAATGAAACAAATTCATTTTAAATGCAGAGTAAAACACGGATGAGCTAATGAAGGTCTTTTCTTCCTCATTCTCTTCTCTTTGAGAACAACATTGGCGATTAAATTAATCCATGCAACAACCATTAACACAAAGGTTTCATCTGCTAATATTGTTGGTGTTGGCTACCTTTTCGAAGCCCTCACCCTACTACGTCCACCCCAACCAAGACAAATCCTAGGGGTGTCAATTTCGGATCATGGGTCAGGTTCGGGTCAAACCAAGAACTGACCCGGCACTATTCAGGTTTGGGTCAACCCAACCTATTTTTACAAACGAGTCGATTTTCAAGACCCGAACCCGACCCGCTTCGTGTTCGGGTCAACCCGACCCGACACGACCCGCTACGGGTTAGGTCCTCCGGCATTTTCCGACAGCAAGACATGGCAGCTGTCGCCAGCAGGGTAGCTGCAGCGCCGCAGCGGGTTAGGCAATGCCTGCAGGCGGCGTCGCGGCGACATGATTCAGGACATCGGGCAGTCGACGCGCGTCACACGTGCCACGCGCAGCGGCGCAAGCGGCGATGCGACCCTTGGCCTGATGTGAATCAACGCGAACCACAGTAGCATGCGGTTACGTTGTCAGCCGAGGCAGACAATGCGGGGCAGCAGGCAGCCGGGGCAGACAACGAGGGGCAGCCGACAGATGGGGCAGCCAAGGAAGGCAACGCGGGTTAGCTATTTTCCGGGCCATTCCCGGGTTTTCGAGTCAACCCGAACCCAACCCGATTTTGCAAACGGGTCAGTTTTCTGGACCCGAACCCGACCCGCTTTGGGTTTGAGTCAACCCAAACCCGAAATTTTTGGGTCGGGTTTTCGGGTCGGGTCCAATATTGATAGGTCTAACAAATCCCTTGACCCCACCTTCTCCAACATCCTTTGCCATCCTTAAAATAACTTCATAGTCCATCCTACAAATGCTCAAGTAAGCAACGACAAAGAAAACCATTAGGATGAAGGGAAGCCGTAAGAGGGACAAACCTATTGAGATGTGAGAGATTGAGGTGCAGCTGAACTGATCACCATTATGGGCATCTCCAATCTAGAGCTTGAAGGGTGGAGAAGAGAAAAGTGATTACAAAGCCCACAATGCCCAGGAACTGGGCCACATTGGGGTCACAGAGGGGATAGGTATGCCATGGTCATTGTGAAGATTGACGAGGAAGAGAAAACATGACAGTTGCGACGACGAAGATGTCAACGTGGTACTTGATGTACTACAAAACTAATTTGCTGCCATTAGAAAAGAAATAAGGAGAAGACAAAGGGCTGACAACAGGCTGGTCACATGGCTGTTGAGGAGGAGAGCAAGAGCACCATCAAAGGATATGGGATGAGGGGGTTTTCTTCAAGAGCGAATGAGGTCAATGATGGGTCAGGCGCAGCAATGCATTTGGAATTCAATCAATATGGAAGAATTTGAGATACGAAAAATGTGGCTTTTGAGAATTTCATTAAAAAAAAATCTGCATATGCTTTGCTTCATACCAAAAACTTGAAAAAGAAGCTAACTGCTAATTGATACCTTAATCCCACCATTAAAGATGCATGATTTGCAAATGTCCTTATTTCTATCCCATGCAATTTCATCACATTATTAACCAAACTAAGATATTCATATCTTTTAAGAAATATAGTTGATATATATTGTGAAAGGAAAACATAAGAAATAAAGATGAAATGATAAGCAAGCCAAAAAAAAGAAGAGCACAGCAAGTGATGCAACTCATGGAACCAATGGCGACAATATTAAAGTCAAAAAAGAACCCAGGCAAATCATTTCATGAATTTAAATTGTAATTATTTTTATTAGTATTTTTAGAAATTATCCTTTCAAATAGTAAAGATTATATTTCAATTAGATGATAAGATTAGATTTGAATTTGGATTATAAGATAGGATTAATTTTCAATTTACAAGGGTATGGAGGATGTTGCTTGTCATTATTATGAATTGAAATTATCTTATTTTCCCTAAATCCCTCTCTATCTCCTTTAATTAACACTCCACATAAGAATACCTATTTCCCATCTCTTCCCTCTCATTCCAATCTCTCCAAACTTTTATCTCACAATGTCATAATTCCCAAGGCCGTGCAACTATCTATCCTAGAACAAAAGGGAATAATTGAGTCTTCTCCTCGATTTTCCTTCTGCTCTTGATACTAGCTCTCAATTACATAAGAAAATCAAGCACATTTCCAAATGAAGAAAAGCATCTAAAATGAGCCCTACACTTACACAAGCAATTTTGCATGAGGAAATCGTCAAAAAGAAGACCTACAATTACACAAGCAAATTTCCAGAAGGAAATAATCTAAAAGGAGGCCTACGCCTATAAGACCTCAATCAATTTGATATAAGAACTGAAATCCAAAAGTAAACCCTAACCCAATAGAATCTTCTTACCCCTTAACTCAATTCCATCATGCACATTTCCAAATGAAGGAAAGTATCTCAAAAGAAATAGGAGCCCTTCACTTACACAAGCAAATTTTTTGAAGGAAATCATCAAAATGGAGACCTACACCTGTAAAAGCAACTTTCGAGGAGAAAATGATCTAAAAGAACTACACCTTCAAGATTTTAATCAATTAAATATTGGAGCTGAAATCCTAAAGGCAAACCCTAACCCAATTGAATTTTCCTACCTGCTTACCTCCCGTTGTTTTAAACAATTAAAACCAACCCTAAATAACCCCCACCAACCGCACAAGCACACACAAAAAAATACAGTAAATAATTTATTGTTGGAAAAGGAAAAAAAACACACACACAAAAAAATAACCCTTGCTTGCCATCCTTTCTACAAATCCAAAACAACCACTTCCCTTCCACAATCCCAATAAAAAAAAATTAACAACTCTAAATTTGATACCTAATCCAGAAACCCTAGCAAAAATCCTTCAAGACTTAGATCAAATTGAAAGATTATGGGAATACATCAAAATAGAACAGATTCAGTCAAGCAAGATAGATGACAATAAAAGTTGATGGAGTGGACCTCACATCTAAGACAGCCAATCCATGGGGGTTTGACTTTATTATGCAATAAAATTTAATATGTATTGAACTTGGTCATTTCAATTTTACATGAGAAATCCTATCAGGAAAACTCATACAACTCAATAGTGCAGAATAGTACATGCTATGGCACAAAATGTGAGCGTAGCCCCGTTTTATTCTCATGGTTAGCTGTGGAGAATGAAATGATGCGTGCCTTTTGCATTATGCATGGGGAATAGTGTATAGCCACCATTTCGGGCCTTTAATTAATTTATATGATTTAGAGTTTAAAATTAGTATTAATATTATTTATAATTTATTTATTAGCTTTATCAGAATTTAATTTGCACTTATTAGGGCATCAAGACAATATGTAAAGCTCTTGGCTTCATTTTGACATGCACACAAGGGCTCACTCTCGTTGATCTCACCTTTGATGAACAAAGAAAGTCGAGCTCTCACCTTCAATCCATAAAGGTTTCCAAGGCTTCTATAAAGGAGAAGGGCTCTTGTTTTCGAAGTTCTTACTACTCTTACCTCACACGATAGCTTCAACCTTCTCACTACTCTCACCTCACACAAAGGCTTCAACGTTCTCATCACTTTGCCTTTGACACAAGAAGCTTATAAGGTTTTAATTCTTGGTTAGCACGCTCTTGACACAAGATTTGGGGATTGCTTGTTATGATTATTCTTATTTTTTTAAGTTATGTAATAGGTTCTTTTTCAAGATATTTAGTACAGTTAGGTAGTGTGAAAAGTCATTTCTCTTTAGTAGTTTATGACATATAAAATCTCTTTAGTTTTATCTCTTCAAGTGGTGTGTTAAGTCTTATAATCTTTATAAGACCCCTCATTACAGTGTTTATGGCATATTAAGACTCCTTAATTTCATCACTTAGGTACCTAAAAGAATATCGAATTTAGGTCAAACTGCAAAAAGATCCGACATGGATGTTCTTACCAGGCATTTGCAAGAGGATGTACCCTCATGTATGCTTTTTGCTGATTATATTCTTCTAGTTCATAAAACTAGAGAGGGAGTTGAAGGTAAACTCGAATTATGGATGTTAACCTTAGAGTCTAAAGGTTTTCATTTGAGTAGATCTAAAAGCGAATACATTGAGTGTAATTTTAGTAGTAATAGATCTAGTGGGGGATTTGTGACTTTGAGCGATCAAGCCATTAATAAATGTACTTGTTTTAGATATCTTGGGTTTATTGTTCAGAGTGATGGTGAAATAGATGGGGATATTATTAGTAGAATTCAAGTTGGATGGTTAAAGTGAAGGAATGCTACAGGTTTGTTGTGTGATAGAAAAGTACAACTCAAACTTAAGGGAAAATTTTATAAGATGGTGGTGAGACCTGGCATGCTTTATGGTGCAGAATGTTGGTGATTAAAAGAGAAGTATAATATTAAGTTAAGTGTAGCTGAGATGAGGAAGCTCAGGTGGATGAGTGGAGTTACTCTTAGAGATAGGACTCGAAATGAGCACATCCGTGAAAAGGTTGGAGTAGCTCTAGTGACAGAAAAGATTAGAGAAAGTTGCCTTAGATGATTTGGTCATAAAAACAACGGCCTTCCGATGACTCTGTTAGGATTGTAGATGTATT